AATCTCTGTATGACCTTTAAAGGTCAACGCAGTTGCCTATTCACATGCATGCAATTATACAGTGACTAGCTCACAGCAGAAAAAAACCTAAAAATATTTAGTAAAACAAACCTTGCATTCATCAAAAGCTACTTTGCACTCTCTAGGCTTTATCTGAAGAGTCAGCTTTACAGAGCAAAGGGGCTACTTGTCCCCATTTTGTCAAAGTGCTAAATCCAGCCTAGCAGCATAATGGCTAAGAATTCAACATTATCACAATATCCAGTCTCTCTATAAAGAGTTTCAAAAATAAAGATAAATTTAATTGAATGGCTATGTTTGTGCTATTGCTAGGGAAAGGGAGACAGATTTTGCACAGTTACCTTCACTAACTGGCCATTCAGAGGAAATCATAAAACAATTACAGCTACTATGGAGTAATTCAGGAGACTAAAGGAAGTGATTAAGAGGATCTTATCTAATAAAAGCATACTATAAGCTCTGATTCCTTGGTTATCTCTCATACCCCATCGGGATCACTAGGAACAAAATGAAATTCTCCTTATAGTGAATATATCCACTTTTCCTCTGAATCCCAAGTAACCTAAAAGTCTTGTACTTCCTAATGGTCATAACAATCAATTGCCTAAAAAAGGCTAGATTTTCACTGATTCCAGGGACTAAATGGCCTATCACTACAGCAGAGGATGAAATCCAACATATACATGTGGTATATACATTGGAAGTGGGTGGGTTATGAAAACCTAACATAAATTTGGCATATAATATCAATATGTTGCTGGAAAATGTGTTGGTAACACTTGTAAACCAGAAGAGTATGCTCTAATGTAATGCGAGGTTTATGTTTGGACTGTGGAGGTACATATTTAATAAAGACAGCATACAGATATATTCAGTGTTTAAAATATGTTGAAATTCCCAGTCATAGTGTCAATAAACACATCCCAAAGCGTCCCTACATATAGAGGACAAAATTGATTTATTGTGTAGCCTAACAAATAAAAATGTAGTAGGCAGTTAGACAAGCCTGACATAGCAAGGACAAAATACCTCCCAAAAAAAAAAACAAAACTAAAGAGGAAAAATATACTGCATGTAACAGTGGCTCAAACAGTAAAACTCAATTATAAACGACCTTGTTAAACCATGGATACAGCTGTACTGTAGTTCAAATCATGCAATATAGTGAAAAACTACATACCTAACAAGGTACACATTTTTTATAGTTGCCCTCACCTCCTTTGATTCAAACATCAGCATTTTCCATAGGCGCCATTAAAACCATTTGTATACATATATATGCATGTGCAAAGATATAGAGATTAGATAGATATTGCAGAGAAATGTATTTCAATAGTAATTTTCTTCACATTCCAATAAGTCAAACATTCCTCTAAAAACTTCTGTTAAGAATAAGTAGAAGACAAGAATTGTTAGTTATATTTCATTGACAAGGACACTAAACCACTGTGCCCAATGAATAGAATCAGACTTTCTAAAAATTACCCAATAAATCAGTGGTGAATGACAACTAAGAAACAAAAACTAACTTTTAGGTCTCTGGTTGTCATGGCCTTCTTTCCATCTCCCCTGTTTCAGCCTATGCTCTGAACCTAAAGTAAAACCGTTCTCTAAAAAATGACTCATTGTAAAATTATTCCTCCCCTTCCAGTGGTATAGTTCAATATGCTTCAAATACAGTGTTCAAAATAAAGTTAACCAAAGAATTTCTGAACAAAATGGCAAATTCATCATATTACATGGCATTAAAGAAAATCAATGCTTCCTAAGTAAGATGTATCATGTGCAATACTGTGCAAGTATGTGGACCAGATAGATATGAGGTTGATTTAGCTAGTGTGGCCTTCATATCTAGCAACATCTGTGCTAATGTGTTTCTCCTCTTCCTTGTGAGGGAACCCTGCTAATAACAGGTTGATGAATTGCATTTGTAAATGTCAGGCATAGATCAAAGGGTACTATGTTAGAAGCTTATTTTACCTCAGCGTATGGTTTCTCACCAAGGAAACAAAACTGCATTGCACAGTAAAGTTCCTTATTTTTACTTGAATCTTTAATGAACAAAACAGCTGCAGAATAATGCGACTTAATGAGGCATCCCTAATAAAATACTGGAGAAGGAAAAGCATGGGCACTGAACTGTTTGCACTCTGGTTGTTTCATCTTCTCAAATATATTAGAAATAACTGATGACACTTGGAGCATTGCGAGTTTAACACATGCATTAGAGAGGCAAAATGTTCACCAGTTTGCAGCCACAGCTGAACTGGGGCAGGATCTGAGAATACCTTCTCTTAGGGCCCATGATAAGAAATCCTGGGAAATGCTGGAGAGGCACATTTTACCCTTCACATGCAGGGTAATCCATAACCTGTAATTAATGATAATCCAACCCTAAAATACACTCTCAACAGTTCAATGTTCATGAACACATTGTAAAAGGGTCATTTGTTAAAATACTAGATCCGGGACCACTAAGATTTTCTGATAATATACAAAATAAAGTTTATAAAATCTTGTATTACCCCCTACATTTCATTACTTTATAAGTTTTTAAAAAGGAAAAGTAACCACATTTAAAAACAGGCCTTTTTACAGCTGTGTCATCACATTTTATAACTTGGTGGTTAGTAAATACTATAATGTAGACTCTAAGCAATATATAACATTGTTGACATAGATCCATAGGCATCTCAATAAATCTTCATTCTCCAATTTGTCATTGTTAAAGTTAGCTAACATTTTTCAGATTCAAAATCACAAACTCAGAAAACTTCAATTCCCCTTTGGCACAACTTGTAGCCTTAATGTCAAGGTTTTGGTTCTTCTCTAAGAGGCATATGTCATAGCACTGTATGTTAATACATAAGTTTATGCATCCTAAGCTACCAAATTTTATTAAAGTTGTGCAAAAGAATCAAGATTTTCAATTTCAAAAAAATGCCTAATAGAAAGCAAAACACTAAACTGTGCTCTGCCTCTTAAAAGTTGCCATGTCTGAGCATCTGGTTGGTGTGACACTGTTCTCATAGCATACTATCTATAAATAATACAATCCCATTTTTTTGAAAATTCAGAAAACCAAAATAAAATGCGCTTCACTGATGCCCTGTCAATGGCTACTGGTGGCTTTAAAAAATAGGACTCTAAAGAGGTCAATATGCAAACAATTGACCCAGGATGAGAACCAGAACAGAATAAAGTAGGAAAAGAAAAAATTTAATGACATGTGTATGATCCTTCTTAAGGTACTCTAGGTGCCAAGTTTGAAACTGTAAAAGGCTCACCAGTCCGAGAGTACATGTGGAAACAGAGAGGCTGTGGTGAATACCTGTCATCTCAATGCTCTGGTTTCTAAAGCCTTTAGAAGTGTTTTCAGTCTCCTTTGCTAGTTATTGCCACTTAGCACTTTACACAGAAATCTTAAATGACTCAACTGTCTTAACTTGCATTGCTTAATAGAGCAGTTTTAATATGTTAATTGATAACAGTCTGAACATTAATGTCTCAGGCAATCTAGTTGGGAAAGACAGGAACCAGATAATTATCATTCAGTCAATAGTCGTTGAAATTCATCCTGTGCTGAGAGAAGGACTCATACACTGACTGCCTGGAGGGTACTTTTCAGAGTAAAGGTTGCATTCGGGTTTGTTTTGGGTATTTTGTGTTTTGTTGTTGTTTTTGTTTTTTGTTTTTCAAAAAACAACAAAATGCAAGAGGGGATTTAACCCTACCTAGAGGTATTTTCTTTTCTGCCTCTCTTCAGCACAAGGTTGAAGGGAGATAGGCTAGCTAGCCACTGTAGTAACTACACATCTGATTCCAAACGCTTGAGGCAATAGTTTAACGCAGGTCAGGGAGAGAAATGCTGAAGAGCGGAGCGTCGTGTCTGCTGGGGGGGGGGGGGGGGGGGGGGGGGACGGCAGCTCTGCGAGCGCCCACAGTTACTCCTTTTCGAGTGGAGACTAGACAGCCCAGCCTGCAGTCCTGGGAGAAATCGGGCGGCGAGTCTCAAACTTTCCTTTGCAAACGCAGCTTCTGGAAACAACGCGTTCCCCGCTGGCAAGTGAGGCTCACTAGCCTCAAGGAAACCCCTCCAGAGAAGAACCCGGCCCTTTGGGACGGAACGGGCGAAGGGACTGCCAAGCCATGGGGCACTCACTATTAGTGAGATCAGATCGGGGAGGCTTCCACTGGGAAAGAAATGAAAAACCCATTCGTTTCTCCAGGCTGTTAGTTTGGGGCTTGATGTTGTTGTTGTTATTGTTGTTTGGAACGCAGTTGGTAAAAATAATGCTTTTCCTGAAGCTCTCTTGTAATAATATCCTTTATGACAGCTTCATGTCACTCGGGAATAGGGCCTCCGTTGCCAAATGGAAACAACCCTCTCCATAGATGGGGCTGGGGCACTCATCCGGGCGGCTCTTTAGGAAGAGAGTTAGGAGTGGGGAGGTCGCGAGCCTCCTCAAAATGCCCACTGTCTGGAGGCTGGCAGGCAGGCCCGAGGATTAGCTCATCAGAAGTGGACAGAAAGTAGGGGTTTCAGCAGGGAGACCCGGCACCCCGCAATGGTCCTGCCTCGAACGCGACCCCCACTGACTCCCCAGTGAGGAGTCCGAAAGGATGACCCACCCGGCTGGCTCTGGCTGAGAGATCCAGAGAAAACTCGCTTTCCCCCTCGGCCGGGTCTCTCGCAGGGTTCGGAGAAACGGAGCAGAAAAGGAGAGAGAGGGCACCGCGCTCCGAACGCCGTTCGTGCGCTCGGATCCCCTCTCCGCGCCCCTCTCCCCGCGCCCCTGCCCCCGACAGCCCGCGCGGAGCCGCCGGCCGCCCGACCAGCATCGGCTCTCCCCTCTCACCTTCCCCGGGGAGCCCCCGGGCAGATCCGGACCCAGCGGAGGGGAGGAGAGGGCTTCCGAGCCCCGGTCCTCCAGCGGCCCCCCGAGTCCCCCCACCCTAACCCCCGGGCCCGCACCTACCTGCAGCCCGGCTCCCCGGTGGCGGCAACACCTAGCGACGCTCCTGCAGCTCCCGCGGGCCCGCGCCAACCTTATCGCTCTCGCATCGCTTCCGAAAGGCCACTCCGCCGGCCCCGGCCAGGGGCATAGGGACCCGGCGTCCGGCGGGCGGCGCTCGGTGCAGGGCTGGGGAGTGCGGTCCGGAGCGTGTGCGCGCGCGTGTGTGCGTTTTCCTCCTCCGATGGCACGGAGGCTCAGCGATCTCTTGGCATTTACAACCGGAATCCCCTTGAAGCGGATGGAAGGTGGAGCGAGTGAGCCTCGCTTCTTTTTCCTCCCTTCTATACCGCGGCGTCAAAGTAACCAAAAATAAAAAATAAAAATAAATGCGTTTCCCGAGGACAAGCCGACGTCCCGCAGCCCTCGGCGCCCGCGGCCGCCCGCCCGCCGTCGCCGCCGGCTGCGCGCGGTGCGCTCGGCTCCCCCGCGGCGAGGATCCAGGCGGTCTGGCAGCAACTACCACCCTCGCTCCATCTCCGGTGTGTTTGCTTTTAACGCCGAGTGCGGACTTTTCCTCTCGCCTCACGTCGTCTCTGCCTCACACACACACACACACACACACACACACACTCCCACACGGCTGCTCCGTGCCTTCTCCCGCCCTCCCTGTGGCTCTCCGGGAACGGGCAATTGGACGGAACGGTTCACCTTCAGGAAAGCAGCAGCCTCTGCCGCGCACCTCTCCGTTCTCCGGCTCCCGCGGGTCCAGGCGGAGCTGCTGGGAGGTTCTGGGCAGGAGGGAGGAGAGGCTCTGGGCTCGGCAGGCCGCCTCTGCCCCGCGAGCCGCCGGGTTCCTGGGTGCGTGCGGGCGCCGGTGCCCCCGCCGTTGGCAGAGAGGTCCCAGCTGGTGCTCTCCCGGAGACTTAGCGTGAGTCCAATTAGCAGCACCTCGCGGCCAGCTGCAGCCCCTCGACCCCTCCTGCAAGCGCTGCGGGCTCAGCCCCACGCAGCCCAGCCGCGGCCCCTCCGGGCATGCTGGGCTGGAAGGAAGGGAAGTCGCCTCTGCCCCCCTTAAACCCAGCACCCGGCACCGTCACCTCCGAGAAGGTGTGTAAGTTCCAGCATCCAACAGGAGTGAGCAAACTGTGCCACTTCGCTGAAGGCGGGGGAGGGGACCGAGGAAACCAATCCGATTACTGGAGGAAACAATGTATACGGTTTAGTAATCAAACCCGCCTCTCCTAAGCGCTGTCCAGTCCAAAGACACCGGTGGTACCTTTTTAAAGTCACCGTGAAGGGCAGAACCCCCCTGTCCAACCACACCCCTCACTCCACCCAGCCCCGGTTGTCCAAAGGGGTCCAGAGGCTGGCCTCCTGGTTCAGTGCAAGGAGAACGCAGAGAGAGAGAATGGGTCCCAACACTGCAGGTTGAGCTAAGCAGTGAAATGGGATGGCAAGACCAAACAATGCTGCCTCCCTCCGTCTGCCTCCCAAGCGCCAGTTCCGTTAGCAGCCGCAGCTGCTGCTCAGAGCAAACTGCGGACCTGCAGGAAAAGACAAGACAGTAAAAAATTGAAGGGCGGCAATGGCTATAAAAGCTGGACTGTGTCTCCCTCTAGAGGAAGTATCGGGTTAGGAGGCTTTACTGGCTGTAACTAGGATTGCAATTTCTCCACAAAGGAAAAAAAAAAACAGCAGTATCTGGTTTCAGAGAATTTTGCATTTTTACCAGTTCCAAGCTATAATGGTTTTGGAGAGACAGTTTGCACTGCAGCGCTAGGTAACCAGAGTCCTTGGTAAAAGGACCTTGTGCTATTTACAGAAATGTAATAGCAAGATCCTGGAAGGTCATGTCCTTACAGGTTAGATCAAACTGGAAATTGCTTTAAGGTGAATGCATATGAGCTCAAAGGAAGGGTCTTTTTAGGCTCACTTTGATCAGCTTCGGCGATGAGCAAAATCTTAATCTAGTGATTAGAAGTTATGCAAAATGAATAAGTACTAATAATGGATTTAGAAAAAAAGAATTATCTGAAGCAAAGAAACAAGAGGCTGATCCAGGAAATCTTACAAACCCTTTACAGCTAAGGCTATCTCAAAGATTTTGCTTTGGAGCCAATATTTTATACATCTTATTCAACTAGACTAGTAATTATCTAAGTAACTAAATTCTTTCAGCTCTAGTTTTGTGCTTTCATAGCTCTGGTTCACGGAAATCATTGACAAAAAAGGTATCAGATGTTGTCCACACAGGCTCTAAAATTAACAGCATTAGTAGGGCCCTGGCAAGGGTGGCTGTGTTGGTTGGAGCATCCTCAGGTACACCAAAAGATTGGGGGTTCATTCCAAGACACATACCTAGATTGTGTCTTCCATTCCCAGTGGGGGTGCCTATGGGAGGCAAGCAATTGATGTTTCTCTCTCACTCTAATTCTCTCTTTTAAAAAATCAATTTAAAAAACACATATCCACCCTAGCTGGTTTTGCTCAGTGAGTAGAGCAGCGTTTTTCAACCACTGTTCCGCGGCACACTAGTGTGCCGCGAGATGTTGCCTGGTGTGCCGTAGGTGCAGACAAGACAAGAATTTTATAAGTTTTCACTATTTTGTTTACTTAATATTTCATAATAAAGTAATTATAAAATACTTTCTTTGTGTTTATTTGATTCCTATTCAAGAGAATTATATATAGTCAATATAGGCACAGAGTTAAATTTTTTAACATTTTCTAATGGTGGTGTGCCTCGTGATTTTTTTCATGAAACAAGTGTGCCTTTGCCCAAAAAAGGTTGAAAAACACTGGAGTAGAGTATCACCCTACAGACCGCAGTCCTGGGTTCGATTCCTGTCAAGGGCATCTGCCTGTGTTGATGGCTCAGTCCCCAGTAGGGAGCATGCAGAAGGCAATCAATCAATGATTCTCTCTCATCATAGATATTTCTACCAGTACCTCTTTCCCTCCCCTTTCCTCTTTAAAATCAATAAAAAATATATATTTTAAAAATTATTTTTTTAATGTATCAGGTAAAGATTAAAAGTAATACTAGGTATCATATTTAAATATGTTTCCCTTATTAGTGATTTTACCTTAACATTGGTTGTATTTCAACCATATTTTGCATTTAAAGGGCATCAAGTATTTTAACATGGTTTTTTAAATAAAAGATACTGCCACAGATTTTATGTTTTGTTTCTTCAGTCAAGTTCAAGCTCGGTCCCATTTATTACATTAATATTTAATTTTTATGAGCTTAACTACTTAAAGGTTTGCTTTCAAGAAGTATCTGCATGTTTATAAATTATAAAATATGTATTAAAGTTATGATTAAACCCCTTCCCATTCACCATTTACTAAGAATTTTTGGAGTCATTCTGTTTTAGCTTGATAATCTAACATAGTAGAAGCTTAAAGAAAGAAAAGAATTTATAAGGGAATAACTGAGAATGAAATAATTTAAAATAAGGAGACAAAAGTAAATGATGTAAGTTTTGCCGGCACCAGTTTGGCTCAGTGGATAGAGCGTCTGCCTGCGGACTGAAAGGTCCCGGGTTCGATTCCGGTCAAGGGCATGTACCTTGGTTGCGGGCACATCCCCAGTAGGGGGTGTGCAAGAGGCAGCTGGTCAATGATTCTCTCTCATCGACGTTTCTAACTCTCTATCCCTCTCTCTTTCCCTCTGTGAAAAATCAATAAAATATATTTTTTAAAAAAAGTAAATGATGTAAGTTTTACTATTTTAGCTAATTGTATTATAGCAGATTTAAATCAGTTTAGCACATGACAATCATTTGAGGTGCCTTCAAATGATCTCTTTTGAAAGGTTAGTGTCATGTGATGAAAGATATTTCTTTTTTTCCTCTTAACTAGCAACTTATTTCCCCAGGGAACAAAGTTTACATTTTAAAAAGCCTGGCACTACTATTTCATTGCAAATCTTACAATAATTCTCTGCTATATTAAGTAGCGGGATCAAATCCAAATGGGAATGATATTGGAAACCCGGGCTCTGTGCTGGGAAGAATAACCCTTTACAAAATCAATTTAGAACACTGGCCTTCCTTTCCCGTCCATACATATAAAAGCCTAAGCCACTGGAATGACGGGTCGCTATGACATGCACTGACCACCAGGGGGCAGATGTTCAATGAAGGAGCTGCCCCCTGGTGGTCAGTGCACTCCCACAGCCAACCTCCCACAGTCTCTCCTCCTGGCCCCCAGGCTAGGACGGGGAACTAGGGGTGGGTGGCTGCAAATGTGGCCCCTTTCCCAGGGGGGCCACGGGCCAACTCCCTCCTCGGGGCTGGTGGCCAACCTCCCTTGCCCCGTCCCTTTCCTTGGTCAGCAGCCCCAATTGGCTGCTGCCAGCCCACTGCAATGGAAGCACAGCGACAAGGGAATGAGCGGAGGGAGGCTGGGAACCATGAGGTGGTGGGGTATTGACAATGGAGGCGGAAGCGTCTGTCCCTTCCACAACCCACCCAGGCAACCATCGCCTCCTCTCCAGCCTGGCCCTGATTGACCTGGTACCAAATAGCTCTGATCACCAGCCAGGCCTAGAGACCCCACCCAAGCACAAATTTCATGCACCAGGCCTCTATAAGAAATATAAAGCATGTATTATAATCTGTCTGGCTTCTAAGTCATTAGCTCTCTGTAATTGTGGGGAAACTATAATTTTACCATGTTGTTAAAAGTGTATTTCTGTTGTTAAAATGTGTGATATTTTCCTCCTTATTTTCCTAATTAAGCCCACAAAAATGTGAAAAAAGTTAGTAAAGATAACAAACGTATAAATTAATTGCAAAATATAATCGAATTTCTTATTCAAAGCCATGATATTAAAATTTAATAGAAATCCCTAATTTAATAGAAATCTTGAGATTATTTTTTTTTGCATCTGTTTACTTAAACTGCCTCCTCCTAAACAGTAAATAAAATTTTAAAAAAGTTTCTTTGAATGCTGAACTTCGCTGGCTTGTTGCTCCATGTGTACTAGTAGCTATTCTGAAGGCTTACTAAAGTGTCACTTTGGGGCACTTTAAGCTTTCTGCTAGAGGCTTATATGCGACCTCAGATTCTTACCTCAGTTTCTCACAACATCTCATAAAGTAGATGGCATAACCCCGTGTTAAAAAAAAAAAAAAAATTGAGACAGTTGCACTCTCATTAAGTGGTAGCACTGGGATTCAAACCATATATTAGGTCTAGTAATAATTAATGTCGTTTTCTAATACTTTTTTAAATTGAATTTATTTAAACAATACAACAAAATTTAATGAACAATATAGTTGCCGTTGTTTTCTACTACTTGTGCCCAACGCTCAGGAAGCATTTTAATCCCTCTGTTGTAAAATTCTTGTGATTTTGATGCAAAAAATTCGG